CCTACACATTAACAAAAGCAAGCAGTTAAATAAAAAATGAAACAAATACAACTGAGAGATTAATGAACATGAAAACATCCTTGCTTACCTGTACTCTAAGTGATTATCTGCCACAAACCAATCACTTAACATATGATCAATTCTGAACAGAAGCGGCCAAAAGATGTATTTTTTAACTACATCGCAATATTCTCTCAGTACCTCTACCGGCTTACTGCACCACACAGTACAGGGATCAACACCTTAATACAAGAAAAAAAAAATAGATATAAAAACTATATTACAAAATTCAGACAACTTGATTAATCAAAGTTTAATTAAAGAAATAATTAAATGTTTCTATATTATATATGTCTAACAAGCTACCTGGAAACAAGGAGACATGAAAAATGCAAATACAGCTGGAGTTCTTGTTCTATAACATCCCAAATAAAATTCCACCCAAAATAGCTGGAAAAATAGGCTATTTCAGCTGGGATTATTAGAAACTGCAAATGTTAAGGATTTAGGGGTTGTTTTTCTTTGGGGAAAACGAAATGGGGCGATGATAACTACTTAAAAAAAAAAAATCTCCCCCATGAATTGTGACCATCACTCCTAGCAACAGTCCTAATGACTTCTTGTTGACTCGTCTGTCAGGAGGACAAAAATACATTCAATCCATGGACTACTGGCCTGTACATCACCTAACAGTTCAGCAAACACCCCAGGATGAAATTCAAGAATGCACTGCTTCCTTCTCCAACCAGATCCAGCTTCACCAAAAAAAAAAGAAGGCTGATTCTATCTGGATTAAGCAATATTGACCAAAAAATAACTGACGGCTGCTGACAATGAGTAACACACAAATTGCATTCATTAGCTATATCATTACAGAACAGTTCAGCTGATTAGAATATACAAAAAGCCCCATAATTAAAGTAGACTTATTTGCCTGCTGCACAAACAGCATCTGACTTCTAAAGCTCTTTATACTATAGCTGAACCTGGATCAGGTCATAAATACTAGCTTCCTGGCAGTGCTGGGGGCAGCTCCTTCCAGCTGCTACTGTCAATTTCACCACCACTGCCTGACTTGACCCTGGTCCTGCTCCTAGGCACCCTGGCCCTATCCATCACCCGCCCACTGCCAGGGGCACCAGATAGGGTCTCCATGGAGACTGGCCCAGGAGCCCCGAGGGCAGGATGTGCTTGGCCAAGCAGATGGAATGGAGCTGTGGGTGGGCAGGGAATGGCATCCGAGAGCAGAACAGGTCGGCAGGTGGGGGCAGGATTGTGAGGCAGTGACAACTTGGGGCCAGGACCCAAGGCAGACCCATGATCTGCTCACCACACAGCCCTGTAAACTGGGGGTTCTGATCCAGCCCAGAACAGCTCACCAAAACTACTTAAGTGGCCCTCCAGCCCAAATAACTGCCCATGCCCGAGTTAAGGTCTGCTTTGATAAGCCTCTGTGCTCTCTGGCTTTCCCGGTTCCCTACTCTGCTTGACTCTGGTTTTTGGATTCCAGCTTGTGGATTTTCCCATGGATCTGGTAACTTAGCATCCAGTTCCCAGACCCTGATCCTGCCTGTGATTAGGACTTTGCTCTGTGGATCTGGTAACTTGATCTCAGACTCCATAACCCTGAACCAGCATGGGTTTTAAACTCTGCCCCTGGCTCCTGCCCTCCCTCAGGGCCCAGCCACTAGGCCAGATTGCCTACAATCCAGTCCCTTAAAGAAATGAACTTTCATCCTTATACAGAAGGAAGAAAGAAAAAGTAAAACCAAATTCCCAAGTAAGGTTTAAAAAACAAACAAACAAAACTTCTATTTAACCTACCTGTTTTAAGTTTAAGTTTATTTGAAGAACGCTTTCTAAATTTATCACGAGCCTGAAAGTAAAGCAATGCTTATTTTAGTTTTTGTTGTTTTACATCATGCAATCATACTGTATAAGCCACCAGCAATACAATTCCTTTAAGCAGCAGACTATTAAATTGACACCAGTTTATAATTAAAATGGGTAAGTGTCACCCCGCCTTCTTTCAGTTGTGGCCATTCCAGAACATCCAGGAAAGTGGCAGACAACTTTGCTATCAAGTTATCAAAATGAAAGGAAGCAAGATGAAAGAATTCTGGACACATCCCCAAATGTCCTGCCTATAGTTGCACTATGAATAAAGGCCTTTTATTCAATTTTATATCCTCAACTTTTAAGATACCTTTTCTAGGCCTCAATTAGAGGTGGATGAATGTGCCTCCCTCAAAAAACAACAGTAGTCCTGAGTTACCTACAGGCCTCCACAGTTCCGAATCCTTTCATGCCTCAAAAACAGATAATCAGACTAAAAAACTCTTTTATCATTATATGCTGCATCACCCACACAGAAAGCCCTTTTGGGTCTAATCTCTTTTATAATTATTGTGAACAGTCAAACAGTATGTATTACAGGTACTCTTCACTTAACAACCTACCTGTTTAACAACCGTGCGGACTTACGACCAGCGAGAACTGGTCATAAGTACGAGAACTGGTCGTAAGTACGAGAACTTTGGTCTTTGAAACGGCAGTGCGGCATCTCAAGCCAAGGCACGCAGTATCAAGGGGCGGCTCCTCGCTTATCAACCAATTTGCTTAATGACCTAGTCACAGGAACGGAACTTGGTCGTTAAGTGAGGAGTGCCTGTATACAGTTTAGCCTAGGAATGGGCAAAATATATCCCACAGACCAGATCCGGCCCACCAGCTGATTGGATCCAGCCCACAAGCAGCCGCCTGTCAATAGACTGTACTCAGCCCGCAGTACCGCCACAGCACTCCACATGGGGCCAAACCCTTCCAACTCTTGCCCTGCTTGGCTCTTCCTCCTGCCCCTGCTGTGCCACTCTGGCTCACAAGTAGCACAGGATACGAACAGCAGCTCTGGGTCAGGGCACCACTTACACAACCAGGCAGTGGGGCGGAAATTGCAGCTAGGCAGCTCCAGCCCCGGTGCATGGGCTCCAGCTCCAGGCCGCCTTCCATCCATTCAGCCACCTCAGCCTCCTGCCTGATCGTGCCAGGTAGGCAGAGTTGGTGGAAGGTGGCAGGGAGCTGGAGCCCTGCTCCAGCTGGCTGGGTGTGTGGTGCTCAGCACATCTCCGCACGGCTTCCACGTGTTATCAGCTGCCCAAGGTGGCATAGCAGGGGCAGGAGGAGCAGCCACTGGAGGCAGGGACAAGAAAGCAGTACCTGGGTGGCTAAGGCAGCAGCCCTGCCAGGAAGGTGCACACACTGGCTGGGGCAGTGCTGTCTGGCAGGCATGGGGCGGGTGCAGGCAGGAGCGCAGTGTGGACTACTGCAGGCGGGAGCGAATGGGGCTTGGCTCCATGAGAAGCACCATAGGGGGGCAGCTGTGGGCTGGGGGGGAGGAGGAGCTGGAACACCCAGGCGAGTTCTGTTGCATGCACCCTGTGACCCCCACTTCCTCTCCCCACCCCACCGGCTCCCAGGACCTAGTCCACAGGCATTCCCCACCCTGCCAAACACACAAGAGCAAGACTTTATTTTGAGCTATTATGCAATCACCTCTCTATACACTACTAAAAAAAACCCAACATAAAATCAGGACATTTTTTTTGTTTAAATAAAATTAAAATATGTTATAGCAGATGTCTGATTCTAACTATATGATTTTTTTTTTTAATCTATAATTTGTTAAAATGAAGTCTTCCAAAAGATTTGTGTGCAGCCCCCAACAGCTCACCAAAACTCATTTCAGCTGGAGGGACACTTAATAATTGCCCACCCCTGGTTTAGTTACATAAAATTATCACCTGGTATGTGAACAAATGTGTTTAAGACATGCTACTTCAAAAAAAAAATATTTTCACCCATTAAACTTAGTAAATAGCTAATAAACATTGAACACTATATTCAGAAATAAAGTACTGTAAGTTTTCTTTATTAATTGAATGCACTTAGACCCAACTACTGGAAAAGCTATGAGAAGATGCAGAGAAGAAAAAAAACAAAACCAAAAACAAAATTTATTAATTTATTGTTACAGAAAATAATATAGAACTGAACAGTATTATATACACTTTTAACCAAGCAGGAAAAGTTTAGGAGTGTCTATTTATTTACTTTTATTTCCCATGTAGCACTGTACTCTCTCAATATCATAGTAATGGATTTAAAAGTTTCACAATACACCAGCAATGAAAAACAGTTTTAGACCAAGAAGTAACAAGAAATTTTTGTTATATCACACAAATCAGGTGTCCTCCAAAGCATATCCAGAGTTTTAATAAAACTTAGGACTTTTACATAGTTTTACTATTATTTCAAAGAGAGAGATTTTCTTATGGGGGGCAGGAAAGAAAGGAGAGTCAGGAAGCCAACTATGTAATGTATAAGCAGCGGCAGATCCTTAAAGCTGAATACTTTTACAGCTGTCTATGCTTTCATGTGTCAGTATACTAAAGGGGACTGGATGCTAAATGAATGGAAATCTTACTACACTTTGGATTTACAACATGCTGAAGTGAGATCCCCATAACTTAAAAGCAGTTTAGAAACTGCAGCAAATTCCTGTGTGGATATGCATATTGACTTAAGTCTGGCTTATATTAATTTAGCCAAATTTAAGGCAAAATGAATGTTCACACACAAAGCTGCATCAGTATAAAAGTGGCACCTTCATTAAGTCAAATGTGCATAGACTAGGCCTTATTCTTGTTCTCAAAACTCTCTTTGGAAGCCTACAAAATTGAAGTAGCCTATAATATTATTGTATATAATCTTACTGTGTGTTCGCTGAGGAAAAGTATAATGATGTCCAAACCAGTCCACTCTAAGAGACTGATTAGCTAGGTCTGAGGCATTATATAACATGGATTTGCCTATACTACAGAAACAACCACATCTGATATCAGCTTGACACACCAGATACAACAGCACCTTGCTAAAGCAGAGCTGAAAACTTAAGTCCAATTAGAGTGGACAGAAAAATCTTTTCAACACTCCTCGTTACAAAGGAATGCTGGGAAGGACATGTAGGATGCTTTAATAAAAGATGTGTAAGTTAGTTGCACCTACACACACTATTGAAATATTCTTTATTCAAACAATGACTGCCTATATAAAAGAAAGTTTTACTGCTTTAACTGTATCAATAGAGATGAAGTCCAAACCCTTGGTACAAAGATGCTTCTGTTCCTCTAGCCCAGGAGTATGGAGCCAGTCTACAGGTTAAACCAGGCCCACAGACCAGCCCATGTTCGATCCCTGGCTGGTGCCTCATGCAGCGTGCATCCTGGATTTGGTGTGTGTTCTGCCTCTGCAGTAAGGACACTGGCTCCAGCCCCATGAACCACACACAGTCTGCACAGGTCAGTTGTGGATAAGCACTACATGCTACCAGCTCTGGATTCAGTGCGGACAAGTGGTCTGGTATAGACATCACATACAGTGTGCACCCCAGATCAGCCCTGTGCCATGTGCATGCAGCCCATACTAGAGACAAGCAGTACTGAGGTCAGTTGATATGGCACCATGGACTATTTCTGATACCCCCGATCTAGTTTATTCCAATATGGAAAAAGGAATAAACTGTGGTATTCTGATACCAGCTGAGTTGTGCTCACACCATGAATTACACAAGATTAAATATTTCAGTTAAAAAAAAATTACACCCCTGTTTGTAGACCAGAACTAAGTAAGAATTGCCATCAGATACTCAGCCTGCACTTTACCTATTCATACAGCTACTTACCAACTGACAACAAGGTTTAATGCAGCCACCATAAAAAGCAATGCCAGCAAACTCTGAGTCAGGTAGAGATTTTTCCATGGTTCATGATCCTAGAAAGCAAAGTCAAAATATATGAAAAAAAATCACCTGGTATGCCCCTTTGACAGGGTTTAGAATGGCTGCAAGATTAAGTTATAACATGTTTCATAACTTGTTCCCACACCATACCTATCATTTGAAAGCCATAAAAACCTGGGGGGGGGTTTCCAATTAATAGCAAAGTAACCAAAGTATCTGAACATTTTGTATGAAAGTTAAAAAAGTATCAGACGATAAGTACCAGTCCACAGTAACAATCTTACAGAGTTTTGGTCTGTGATTAGGGTGTAAACATGCTATGATTATAGCTAGTAACAGTGAAATGCCTGGCATTATCTAATAGTGTAAGAATGATGTTGTAGCCATGGTAGTTCAGAAATTATACAAGAGGCAAAGATTTCTTAGGATGATATCTTTTATTGGACCAACTATGTAGTTGGGTAAAGTTAGACAAGCTTTTGAATTTAAGACATTCTCTCTCAGGTCTAATCATAAGGCCTGGCTCCCTGTGATCAGACCTGGGAGAGAATGTCTTGCACTCAAAAGCTTGTCTAACTTTATCCCAACTACATAGCTGGTCCAATAAAAGATATCATCCTAAGAATCCTTGCCTCTAGCATTTTCTAGAAATTTTAATCAGGAAAAGAAATCGAGTGAGTAAAGGGATTTTCACACGTATTGAAAGAGAACAACTTTAATCATGAAGAATCTATGCTACAAGTTATTCTGTGGTTTGACATAAAATTTCTACCTGCTCACCCATCCACCCCCCATCCCAAATCAGTCTGGAATACTGTGGAGTGAGGTCTATTGCCAGCGACAAGACGACCTTCAGGGAAAATACTGGGCTGAGGGATCGCAGGGAAAGGATGAGTGTGAGATCCCCAGAGGAAAAATTTAACAAAAAAATCGTGGAAAGCTTGGTGTCCACATAACACTGAACTAGTTCACAGAGGAACAGTTCAAAATAATACCTGCTTATCTCAATATACTTTTGAAACATTTTAGGAAGGTTAAGCTGTTCTAAACTGGCTTGTATGTCCAGATGCTTGCAGTTCAAACCACATTTTAAACGGTCTGTGTCTGTCAGTACCTTTTATAACCCTACATGCAATGCAACAAAAATTCCAGTTAGTAAAATACTTAATGAGAAATACAGGCTGTTCCTGAACCTAATGAAAACTAAATACAAGTATACTCATTCAGGGCACCTTCAGGAGCCCACCTACTCTGACACAAGCTAATTAGCATGTGTTGGAACATGGGTCAGACACCTGTGTAGGTGCCCTGAATAAGTTCACTTGCATTTAGTATTGAGTCTGCTGGAGCATGCTAATTAGAGCTGGAGCTAGTTAGTGTGTGCTAATTAAGGCTCAATTAATGGAGCTGGATTAATTGAGTCTGCTGGAGTGTGCCTATTAGGTTGTCACATGTATTCAGAGTTCCCATACTTCAAAATGGTGGTAGGAGCCACGCTGAATATATAACATGTAAACACCCACATCATGAGAGCGGCTCTCAGGAGTCACTTAATTAAAGTGCCCCCCCACCCCAGCGCATGTAAAGATGCCCTCAGTGACTGAAAACAGGATGCAAGTAAACATTAGGAATAACAAACCAACCTGTAAAAGCATTAGATAAATTTATCTGGGGTTGTATATACCCAGGAGACCCCCTCTACCCATCCCTGCATAACTATCCCTTAAACTATAAGTACCATAACTGTTTACACAACACCACAATGGATTTGATTTAAATCGTATCAATTTAAATCATGGCTGAAATCACAGGACAGGAAGCCTCAATTTAATCATTGTTTTCTACAAAAAGTGCATCCTTGTTGTTTGATATTCTCTACACGTTTAACTTCTTGAAACTTTGCACTTTTAGACAGTTAAGGGCATGACGCTGTGTACACAAACTTGCAGAGACAAGAAGGCTGATGGGTAGGTAATCAGGTCTGTTCTCTCTTGTCTCCATATACTGCTGTTAACAAGGATGTTAATCGCTGGAGACACAAATCCAGGTTGAGAACTATAACTAAACATTACAGAGTTGCTTAATGGGACTGTCGACTGAGCACTGAATCACATTAGTAAAGATTAAAAAAAACAACCCACTCTACCCAATCTACAGAGGAGCCTCTGGGAACCCCATAAGACTGCCCCTAATATAGTCCATGGCCTGTTCTAAAAAGGTTACATGAATATATTATCTCAAATAGTATAAGTTATAATCCCTATTCCATGATGATATCTTTAAGCTTTAACACATCTTAAATTAAAACTATCCTTATATAGGTTTGTTTTTAAAAGAAGCATATAAAAAAAATATAAATAAAAAAATACAACTAAATAAAAAGAATCTGATTTAAATTTTAAAAAATTCTTATTTTAAAAACATTGTTGATTTTTATCTACCCTGCACAATACAGTATCAGGACTGTTGCCTGGAGTGGCGTGGGCATTAAGGCACACAGCTGAAAGCCCAGAAACTGCAAGGTCAAGGCCACAGCAGAAGTACTCGCAACAAGGCCTGTCAGATACCAATGAAATCTGTGAATTGTACAAAATACCTTGTCACACAAGGACACAAAAAGGAAGGTAGGTGCCAGGACTAATTATTTTTGCTCTGCAGGGGTATTCTGTTTCAGCATTGTGCTACCCATCACATTAACAAATAAGCAAGCCCAAAGAGGGGCTATATGGCCAGGCTGATCCTGTTTATTATGGCCATTTATGAAGCCCTACATGAACAATGCTTCTTTGGGATAGTTCCCTTCATAGAGAGCTAGAGAGAGAGAGAGAGAGAGAGCGAGCGAGCGAGCGAGAGCAAGCTAGAGAGCGAGCGAGAGAGCACGCTTCCTGTTCCGTGTGTGGGAAAAGTAGTGGCCTAGAGATAGCAAAAAGTATGGTATACCACTGAATGAGGTTCTAGCTCATTTGAGTGCCAATCATATGGAAAGAAGTGCCTCTTTAAAGGTGTCTCAGTCTCAGTGTAGATTTCAGAACTGGTGTTGGCACTGGTGTGACAGCTTCTGGGTTGCTCTTGCCCCTTCTCTGCATTACCAGTACCCTTGCTCTCATCGCTTAACATTGTGACACTTAAAAGATTTTTCTTGGCTTGAGTTCACCTTATGGATGAACATGTCATATGCTCCAAGATGCACTCAGACTTGGTACAGGTATATCACCTAGCACCTAAGGCCAACAGCACAGGATCCCTGTCCTGGGTCAGCATCAATATTGCCTGTACCAATGTTACTCTAGTCAGAACTGCAGACCCTAGTATCAGAGCCAAAAGTATTGACGGGTTTTTTTGTTTAATTTCCTCCTTTCTAAGATCAGGTATAATGCCTGCTTGCCAGAGCACTTTTTAAAGATATCCTCCAAGCAAGAACTGTGGACACTGCTTCCTGTACCAGACTAAATATGACCTTCACGAACTACTCCAAGGGGTGTGCATCATAAACCTCGTGTCTCTCAAGCAGCAAACAGAGCACTAGTTAGAGATGTACTTTTCTCTGAGGCAGAAAAAGATGTTTCCTGTGTTCACTGATAAGAGTAAAAAGGTCATCACAGGAAGGATAAGTTAAACCCCATGGTTTACAGGCCATGACACAGGAACAGCTGGTCACCCTACTGGCTTTTTTTTTCCTGGATGTTCCATAGCAATTTTTGAATGAGAATTTAAAAAGAGGTGAACAGCTGCTTCTTCATAAACACCAAGTTCTCAGCTCAAGAAAAACAGAAACCCATGAGATACAGCCAAGGAGTTCTGTTGCTAACACTGGCAGTAAAATGACCCTGAGAGAAGGTCAAATCGACTCTGCTACCTACTCACAAGAGAGCATGAGGTGATAAAGATGATAAAGCCACAACAATTCAAAAAATTCCAAACTCATTCATGTGAGGGGCTTGCAAACCAACAGTAGACAAAGCTACTTGAACAACATTTTGTTCTGGTTCAGAAAAGATGTGAACATTTTCTCCCCCTCAAACCCCTCCTCTGTGGCCACTTCCCCCCTCCCCCAAGTGGCTGGCCTCCCTCTCTGCCTACATTTTTCTCAGTTTGGCTTGGATCAGCAGGCTATAACACTTCCTGTTTAACAAAGAGCTGATCTGGGTTACAGAATCCTTTTCAGGAACCCATAACCAATGCAAAAAGCCAGCGTGGCTCAAGGCAGCTTCTCAAAAAGCAGCATAATCTACTTTGCTCATCAAAATCTAGCAAGAGGCATTAAAATAAAAACAGCAAGGCAGAAGGTATTTCTCACTTAAACCCATCCTGGCACTAAGGTTGTTGGCTGTAGCCATATTGATCTAAGAACGCAGGCAGACAAGGTTCTTTGGGTAGATGTGATCTCTTTTATTTGACCAACTAAATAGTTGGAAAAACTGCATTTAACCAGCTAGACAAGGCTCGATCTTTGGCTCAATCTGATGTCTTTTATTAGATCAACTTAAATAGTTGGAAAAACTTTTCTTAGCAAGCTTTTGGGTTTAAACCCTTCATCAGGTAAACACCATTTTACCAGCTACAATTATCACCAGGTCAACATTCCCTCCCCCCCAACCACCCTCCTGTCTCCCATTGTCATTCACACCTATTGTCTCCCATTCTCTCTGATCCTCCCTGCCAGGCATTTGCATTTGCACAGACCTGCTATCTGCACATTGGCTTCTCTTCTACCCAGGACAGCACACAAACACCAACAGACTCTCCCCATGCCTGAAGAAGGCTGCTTGTGCCCGACAGCTTGCAAAGAACAGTTTTGCAGGGTATTTAGTCGATCTAATAAAAGATAATCACATCTACGCAAAGGAACCTGTCATCCTGGCGCTCACCATTTTGCAGGATGCTGACCCGTATGAAGGAGGAAAGGGGAGAGGCAGAAGGATACCCTGCCCCTTCAGCAGCTGCCTCCGCTAACCACAAACAGCTGCAGCCTGCGATCACCCCCACCACCAACTGCCCTTTAACCAGCACGGTACACCCCCTCACGCAAACCCCGGGGGAACTGTTTAATCCAAACCGGCCACACAGGCGAAGCCACCCATCGCACCCTAAAAGCATCAGCCCGGCTCCCCAAACCGGGTTTGGAGAGGCCTAGTGACTAGAAGTAGCTTCCAACCAGCTTTCACGCCAAGGCTTGCGGAAGCACCCGAGACCCCAGGACCTCGGAGCCTCCGCCTGACCCGAGCAGCCCCTGCCTGCCTTCCTCCACGGGGCGTGGGGGCTGTAGCCAGATCCCACCTCAGTCTCGGCCCGGGCCCCGGCCCCGGCCCTGCGCGAAGCCAACACAACTGGGGGGGGGGGAAGAGACAGGGAATGGCGAACAGCCGCCCGCGGGACCCCTACTCACCGGCTCGAGGCTGACTCCCAGCAGCCGCTGCACCGCCGCTTCCAGCCCGCGCCGCCGTGAGCAAGGGGCGAGGTGGGAGCAGGTGGGTGAGGCTCCCGCGGCGCAGCACAACAACTCCGCCCCACGCGCACCGGCCCCTTCACGCCACCCTATTGGCTGCCCGGCTTCTGACGTCAGGAACGCGAAGCGTCGATCTTCGCAGCGCCCCCGGGCTAAGGGGGGCGGGGCGGAGCTGTGTTAGGTTTCACTCGCCTACGCAAAGGGCCAGCCGCGGTTGTTCGCGCGAGAGGGAGGGAAAAAAAAAGGAGGGGGGTGTTCGGTTCTCTCGCACATGCGCGGGTGGTGACGACACTTCTGTAGGGCGGTGAACAGAGGCAGCGGCTGGACGCTTATAGGCAGGGCATAACGGGCAGGGGTGACGTGGCCGATGTTACCAGCCGATTGGACGCGGGACGGCGCCTGCGCAGCGGCTTCTCCCACACTACCTCCTTCGTCAGTTGGCTTCGCCCCGAGGTGGTAACGTCAGTCCCCCGCGCGGAGGCGGGATCGGGCCGCCATGGTAGAGAACTCGCCATCGCCGCTGCCCGAGCGCGCGCTCTACGGCTTCGTGCTCTTTCTCGCCGCCCAGTTCGGCTTCAGTAGGTGCCGCGGGGAGGCGAGGGCGGGGCCCGGCCGGGCAGACGCGGCCGGAGCTGGCCCCGCAGGGCCGGCGTTGCCGGGTGCACGATAATTATCCGGTTTCTCCGATAATTGGAACCCTTGTACGATGAGCACTCAGTAATGGTAATAAGCGTCTTCAAACTGTCCGATCGTTTTTGAGGTAGCGGATGGATGCAGCAGATGTAAAACCCATGTCACTGTCTGGGAATCGTAAGTGACATTTGGGTTCACTGTCAGCGCTCGCCTTACAATAAAGAAATGCTTCAACTTTTGACTTATTGGCGACTTACAGTGAGCAATATGAAGTAAAGAAGAAGGCTTATTTGCATATTTGTCACTGTACAATAGTTTTTCAGCAAATATGATCATTTCCTATTTAGGACTTGGCAATGCTGCCCAGGACAACCCCAAGCTTTGCTTGGCCGGGCCTGGTGCAAGCCCAGCTGGGTCTAGTCTGTGGCCCCTGTTTCAACCACCTCTCCCTCCATGGCCCTCTGGCCCAGAGGGAGGAGGGTCTCTGCTGCTGCAATCGCCCCTTGCCCTGCCAGACTGCCCGCCTTAAGCCAGCCTCAGGGGCCCCGGTGCAGAGTGGTGCCTTGGACCTGCCTCTACACTTTATGCATGACCAGGACCTTGTTCCTCTGCTGCTGGGGTTTGCTGTTGGATAGGTCAGACAAAGCTGGGTCAGCACTGGGGAAGCCACATCTGGAGTCCTGCATCCAGTTTTGGGCCCCTGCTGCAGAAAGTAGATGGACAAGTTGGAGGGAGTCCAGCAGAGGGCAACAAAAATGGGTCAGAGGTTGGAGCACAGGACTTGTGAGGAGAAGCTGAGGGAATTAGGCTTATTTAGTTTGGAGAAGAGAAGACAGGGAAATTTGATAGCAGCCTTCAGCTACCTGAAGAGAGGTTTGAAAGAGGATGGAGCTTGACTGTTCTCAGTGGTGACATATGACAGAACGAGCACCAGTCTCAAGGTTCAGCAAGGGAAGTTTAGGTTAGATATTAGGAAAAACTTTCTCAGTAGGAGGGCAGTAAAACTTTGGAACAGGTTACCCAGAGAGACGGTGGAAGTTCCATCCTTGGAGGTTTATAAGACCCGGCTAGACTAAGCTTTGGCTGGGATGATCTATTTGAGGATGGTCCTGCTGTGAGCAGGGGGGTTGAACTAGATGATCTGTGGTCCCTTCCAGCCCTAATTTTCTGTGATTCTCTGAATCAACCCTTGTCTCTTTTTTAGCTTTAAAGACTAATTTGGAGACCTATGAAATGTTACTCAAGTAGTTCTCAACCATGGGCTACTGTGACCCCTTTAGGGATGCTGCTGGAGTGTCACGCAAAGGTAGCACTCTTAGGTGCATGCACATGATTACCAAGATAAACCCAGTGACTTCAGACAGCAATCCAATGCATTTAAAATCATTCTGCCCCTGTTGTGGGCTTTCTGAGCTCTCTGCAGGAGAAGACTTGCTCAGTTGTCTTTCTGTAGTTAAGAAAGGAGTAAAAGCTCAGCGTTGACATTTTCCAAGGGATGCCTTGAGTCTAAATGGATGCAGGGGAGGGTGCCTCAAGTCTAAAAAAGGTTGAGAACTGCTAGGCTACTTCATAGCATTTGCCAAAATAAACTGTTGCCCTTGAAAGCCCAGGTTAGTCTCTGACCAGGTTAGTTTCTGAGGTGCTGCCCTGCCTTCTACCAAGAGTTGTGTGCATGATGCTGTTTGTGGGGTTGTCCTTCTCCCTGATATTTTGGACATGCTGGTTAGAGGCTAGCGAGGCTCAAAAGGAGTAGTCAAATTTGTGGGTGATGAAACTGTTAACTGTTATTAGAGCAATTGGAGGTGTATCCTCTGGCATCTCTAAACCAATGATGGTAGATGCCAGGGATAGGATATCTATCACTCCAGACCAGGCTGGGCAAAACGTTGAACACCAAGTGGATCACAACTCTGCCCACCTCTAGACCATACTGTTGCCTGCACAGGATCCTGGCCCCGGAGCAGCTCCCAATCCTGCCGCACACCCTGCCAGCACTACTGGGGCCAGTCTCCATGGAAACCCTGGTCCCACACTGTCACAGGCCCACAGCTGCTGGGGTCTCCATGGAAATGGGCCACAGCATGCTGGGAAATAGAATCCAGCCACCGGCTAGATCCACCATTTTGCCCACCTCTGCTCTAGACATACCTGTTCCAGCCTTTAGATTTATCCCTCTAAAGCATCCACTCCTTTATCCATCAGAGGCAAGATACGAGTCATTGGACTAACCCAATATAGCACTTATGGTCTAGTAAGGCCTTATGGGAACTACTGCTGTAGAGCAAGTTGTCATTTATTTGAATGATTTATAATGACACTACTGTAAGTGCTTAGAACTGGTTTTTTTTTTAATTCTGAAATAATGTTAATTTTACCATTGTGATCAAAATACTAACTTCACTTCTTCTGTACAGTGCTATACCTTGTGTGGGCATATGTTCCTGAATCGTGGTTATTCTCATTGGGACTAACATACTGGCCTCAAAAGTAGGTTCAAATCATTTAGTTTATAAAACTATCCTTGTAGAAATATTTGATAGTCTTTGAACCTTTTTTTCAAATAACAAAACTAGAAATGTACCAGTGCTATTTATGTAGCATAATAGGTCTTGCATTTCATCCAGTTTGAAAATGATGACTTACTATTGTTCCTCTGACAGACAACTGGAGTACTTTTGCAAAAACTATCCTCCACAAATAGTAATTTGCCCTGAAAAATTATCAGTGAGCTAAAGTGAATACATAGCTATTTCACTGTGTTTTATTGAAGTAATCTTGCAGTTTAAATCATGATTATTGCAGTTGTAATTGGCCACCAGTTGGTAGTAAATAAATGAGCCCGTGTGATCCTTTTGATATACTTAAAGTTCTCACTTAAGTTCTGAAAGCTCTTCTTGTTACACTTTTGCTTGATTGATTTTTTTCCCCCCCCAGAAAATTTTTTTTTTTTTAATCCAGCATATTTTTTTTCTGATTTATAGCTTTGAAATGCATCTTATTCTGCAGGTATTGGGCTGTTGCTTTGCCAGTATACCTCCTCGTTACTATAGGAATTGCTTATGTTCTACTTTTTGGTATTAACATGATGAGCACTGCTCCACTCAACTCAACACATACCATTACAGGTAATAATTTCCTGTCTCTTACCAAAACATTAAAAAAAAAACCCCAAACTGTAAGCACGTTTGTTGGTACACCTAAAATAAGGAAATTCAGTCTTTAATTTCCCTGAAGTGTAATTTTTGGTGCATAAAATTTGCTTTTAAAAATGCTTCTTATAAAATATGTAATGATTAAACTATATATAAAATATGTAGCAAGTGAAGTACTGTGTAACTTTTTTTTGTTTTTCTCTAAGTTTGTTGTCTTGAAAATGGATGTCTTGCTCAAGCATTTGCTGTTCTCTTTTCTGTGTACTATACTGTTCAACTGTCCGGTTTGGTCACTTGAAAAATATAGGCCCGCCTTCAGACTTTCCCATTCTCTCTCAGGATGCCAGTACTTCTGTTTATTAACGGAACCCTTTTTTGGGCAAGACCACAATTATTTGCTTTAGCATGGAATTACAATCTAAGGTGTCCCAGTAATATTTGGCTCTCATTCATTGGTTCCCAATACAGACCTGGAAAAGTATTATTTAAGGAATATTTCACTGATGTGACTTGAGCTCAGAGTACAGTGCAGTGGAAATAGAGAGGTATAGGCTTTACATTAAAGATAATGACTAGAATAGTAGCTCGATTGCTTGCAGAGACCTAAAGAAAATAAATTCTGCCTATGGATTGGTACTGCTGGCCCATTTTAACTCCAAGTCTTGAATCAAGTCTATAAAAACTTAGGAAGTCTATTATCTTGCTGGGATCCTATGACCCCAGCTGACTTCTTGCCCTTTGGGCAGGGGGCTGGACTCAATGATCTTCCAAGGTCCCTTCCAGCCCTAATGTCTATGAAATCTATGAAAACCAGAAAGTTAATTCCTCCTTTAGCTAAAATATTATTGCCCAGAAAAATATGTTCATTTTATTGAACTAGAAGGACATAGAATCTGAATTATTTGTAATTTTACTTCATTTATTAAGTGCTGTGAAGTCCTGCATTATGATTTGGATGTATAGAAGTATTAGCTCAGCATGCTTTTTTTGACAAAGGGTTAGAGTTTCTAGTAACACTTACAGCATGTAAACACACAAAGTAAAAGATTACATAGCATCTGTGTTAATAGGGAAGTATCTTTTTAATTTTCCTGCAGATAACTATGCAAAAAATCAGCAACAGAAGAAATATCAAGAAGAAGCAATTCCTGCATTGAGGGATATTCCCATCAGTGAAGTAAACAGAACGTTTTTCCTTGGAGACGGAAGTAACTAATTAAGCCAAGATGTTTTGCTTTTTTAAATAAATTATAACCACAATTAATTTTTTTAAAACATTTGTAACTGGTCTGTATTAGGAGAGAGACTTTCAGAAACTAGCATATTCTTTTCTCATCCAAATAACATTTAAACAAATATTAAGCTTGTACAGGAAGTGTATACATAATCGCTGCATGTAGCAGTTTTTTCAGTATAGTCTCTTCATCAGTGACCTTTTACTGTTTGTGAGCATGGGTATGTACCCTGACATTGTGAAAGTCCTGCTGTTGTTGTGCAGCCACTATCACAAAGCCTTCATCATTGCGGTCACCCTTATAATCTGACTTTAATTTTTCAGTCTGTGCAGAGGATGAGGCTGCACAGTGTATTCAAACAATGAGATTGTCTCTTTGGCGCACAAGCTGGTACATAGGTGAATATTATCACACAGAAATAGCACTTCAGGGGTTTCTGTATTGGGACCAGCTCTTTGCATACAAGGTTTCAGTTTCTTTAGGATCTTTATCTCAGTTTTCTGTAGAGCACTTAGGAACAAAGTCAATAAGAACACCCTCCATGTCCATGGACAAAGTTAGGCAGCATTATTTTCTGACTGACCCTCATACAGTGCAGGCATGCATGTCTTTGTTCATGCCTTTTGGCTTCATAATAGCTCATCTCATAGTACTAATGAGAAAGCCCTAGCAATTTTCCATGTCAAGTATGTATTTGCTGATTAAAACCTGTAAGAAAGAAAATATTTTGGAATAAAACCTTGATGTCTGGAACTGAGTGGTTGCACTGGTTTGAATGGCACTTTTGATTTGGGACAGAGGTTTACCACTTCCTCCTCTATAGGTTCCCCCACCTTTCTCCCTTGTTTATAACTACGGACCCTGGTTTTCCCCGATAAAAAAAAATTGCAAATTCTCCAATGAAAACTCCCAAAATTTGTGATTAAAATTAAAGGCCCCTCACTCTCCCCCAGCCCTGTTGGTGCCCCTCACTCCCCCTTAGCCCTCTGGGTTCGTGCCTCTCACTCCCCCCTCCCTGCTCACCCCCAGCCCTGCTTGTGCCCCTTGCCCCCCACCAGAGCCCTCTGCCCCCCAAGCCTGCTAGAGGTGGCCCCCAGCTGCCAGGGCTACAGGGCCAGGGACCTTGGTCTACAGCCACCTGCCCCCAGCAGGATGTAGCAGCTGCTGCAGCAGAGCAGAGCCTGGCTCCACCCCTAGCTGCCTGCCTGCCTACTGTAGACTTGGGCTGGGGGTGGGGCCAGCTCCCCACTGCCGCTTGCACTCCTGGGGAGGCAGGGGGGATCTGTGCCCCCCAGATCTGTGTGCAGGGCAGGGGTGGGCACAGACTGCCTGCTGCGGGCTTGAGTTCCCACCCTGCTGCCCTCTCCCAGGGCCTCCACAGCCCAGCAGGTGTAACCCAGAGCCTCAGGGCACAGAGGAGAGCCGTGTGGGGAAGCTGCTTGTTGCTGTGAGCTCTGCACTGCCTTGGCAAGGCATCCCCTGCCCGCATGACAGCAGCAGGGGTGGCGGCAAGGGGTTGTGCCTCTCACTGTGTAATGGGGCCGATCTCCGTGGCCCACCCACCTGTTCTTGGGCCAGCCACCCACCTTCTCGCCCACCATGACATCTATTAATTAATCAATTAACATCAAGGCAGTTAAGCAGGAGGCTGCCCATTTTGCTGCCTCAATGCCAGGGGGCATTCTCTGCAGCTCCTTTCCTCCCCTACACTGCAGCCCAAGCCTCACAGATGGCATCTAGGTGTTCTCGTTATCACCGGACCCCACACTGGGCCCCCAGAATCCTGCCAACAGGACCCCTCCATGATCCCTCCATTCAGGCAGCCTACCCCACCTTCATTCAGGCTACCTAGCTCCCTGAAACTGTTTTCCCCTCAGGTGTGGTCCCCCCAGGACCTCTGGCTACCAGCCCTGGCCTACCTCCAGGCCAGTCAGGACCCCAGCTCTTGGACATCCCTTGCAGTGGGCCCCTGGCCCTTTTGACCGTCCTAGTCCTGGCCCCAGCATGGGCTAGTTGAGGGTACTCTCGATCAGGTTGAGTCCCTAGCCCTTCTCTCTCTCCTGGGGTCTGCCCTCCAGGCCCTTCACACAAACTGGATTACCCACCCAGTGGTGGGGGCTAGGGGTTAAGGCGCCCTGACCCACCTTTCACCGGGGTGGTAACTGGCCTGGCATTTCCTGGGGGCTTCTGTGCCACTGAGAGCCCCGCCAGGCCACCCACTCCTGGCAGGGTGCAGTTTTAGGTCATGCCCAGGACCAGGAGCCTCCTGACCATCCCCTACAACTCCTCTCTTACCTCCAGATGAGCTCAGCAGTCCTCCAGCCAGACAATGTTGTTGCCTGGTCTCCAGCAGCCGAACTGCCCTGTTTATATAGACAGCCCCTGTCTCAAAATGGCTGCCCTCATCAGGCACCTGGTGGCTGCCAGCTCCAGGCCCTTAAAGTGGCAGGCACACACTGTGCCCTGCCATACACTGCTACCACACAGGCAAGGGACACCTTGCCAGGGCAGCACAGAGCTCACAGCAACAAGCAGTTTCCCCGTGTGGCTCCACTGTGTCCTGCAGTGCTGAGTTGCACCTGCTGGGTTGCAGAGGTCCTGGGGGAGGGCAACAGAGCAGGAACTCGAGCCCACAGTGGGCAGCCTGTGCCCACCCTGCACAAAGATCTGGGGGGGGCATGGGTCCCCCCTGCCTGCCAGCAGTGCCACCTGTCCCCTCAATCCTGCTGCCTACTGGGGCCCTGCTGCCATACATTGTAGCATGCACATGGCTTCCCCCCGCCTGACCATCCTTCTCCCTCTCCCCCCCAGCCCCTTACAGGCTGGAGCTCTGCCAGCCTGCAGAGCGCTCTTTGCAAAACTGCAAAATTCACAGGTTTCTCCATTTAAAATGAGAAATCCACATTTTCCTCAGGTAAATGGGGAAATCCACATTTTCCTCCATTTTTCCATGCGAAATGGAAAACCCGGATCCTTGTTTATAACATTCTCATATAGTTTGTCAGTTAAAGATTATATGTGTCCTGGGTATGCATGTATTTACTTTTTTTGTGAATTGTCTTGTCATTTTTGAGATGCACTGAAATAATAATAATCAAGCATTAATTTTTCTGGAAAGAATTAGTTTTTAACTCATTCCAGAGCTCTCTCTCATCTCATGCAGTTTCCAGTATTATTTTTTTTACGTTTCTCTGATCTTTCTCTGTTTTTTAGGAAGCAATTTAGTTTTTAATTCTAATTTAACTAGTGAAGGCTACCTTTCTATTATCATTTAATGTAAGGATTAACATAGTCCTTGGTTAAAGATACACAAATCCCTACAGGATAAAGAAAAGCTACTGAAAAATGCCCCCAAGACCTCAAAGCACACAAATTAAAGGACTGTAAATCTTGGACAAAGATTCTATCAGTGATGAATCTTCTGTTCTGTTTGCCTACTGATCTCACAATTATGGGAAAACTAACAAGAGCCTAAATGAACAGACAAACTGGGGCCATTTGTTATTTAAGTTAACTTGCAGACATGAAACTCAATCTTTACTTTCCAACTCCTACTGAGTGGCAGTGCTACAAGGGTACTGTGCTGACCTTTATTTCAAAATGAGAATAATTATTGACATTTTGAAGGTTGTTTTCATGATTACTATATTTTATAATATTAGCACTGTGTTTTTTCTTTTGTATTATATATTGTTACTGGAGTGCAGCTAATATAGGTTGATAGCGCACTGTGGAGCTTTAGATTTAATCAGTTTGATTTAAACAGTTCCTTGTCCCTAAAGATACAACATCCTTTTTAGTTGTTAATACATTTAGAAGGCTGTATGCTGCTGTTAGCTCAGTGGACACATGCTTCCAAAACAAAACCTGATCAGACTGAAGTATGCTGATGGTTTTTAACTCCTTTCCATACAAAACATACTAGTCAGAAGCCTTATTCAAAGATCTGGAATAAATGATGTAATCAGATACCCAGTCCCTCAAGAGATTGGCTTTATTGAAGCTAAATCCTAAATATGACCTCATTTTCACCTTTTAGCCTGGTCTTATTTGTGGTGTCTTGTCACCAACAAGATTAGTAGTATTCAGCCCACAGAACTAACTTTGCATCTTTCTTGCTGAAGTAGACAAAGGGACTAGCCTTTAATGAATTTATGCCCATAACCTCTGCTTTTTTATATACCATCTTTACCTGATACTGAGGCGAGTTCAAATTTAATACGACTCCTCTCCCTGATAATTAGATTATATAGTTGGCAAATGTATACATTGGTTATAATTTTCCATGTATAGAATCTAATTATTGGAAAATCTGCTTACTTTTTTACCTCTCCCTTCCCTCCACTCCCCTACCCCCACTGCTGCAGCAAGACAAGTAGCAGCAGGGGGGCAGGCAGTGGGGGAGTCAAAGTTCCCACTGCCACCTGCCCCACCATGCTACCTGCTCTTTCTCCAGTGCCTGCACCCCCTGCCACCTGCCCCTCCACTGCTTGCCCCTCCCTGTGGTGCCTGTACCCCCACCTCTGTACTTTGCCACCTTGCACCTTCCTTCCCCACAGTACCTGTACTCCATGGCACCTGCACCCCTATCACTTCCCCCTCTCCTGCTTGATTTCCCCACCCCCTGAAGTGCCTATCCCCAGATGTGCCTATTGCCTCCTCCCCTTGCTGCTTGTTCCCTAGTCCCTGCTTACCCTCCACTGAAGCTCTGATTCTTTGGCCCCGACTTTGGCCAGGGTCTTACAGAGCACATGGTGCTTCCAGTCCTGCCTGGCTAGGCAGCAACAGTTTTGATGGTGGTAGCTCTAGCACAAGAGTGGGAAAAATGCGGCCCACGGGCCTGATGCAGCCCGCCAAGACATTCTATCCGGCCCGTGAGGCCCCTAAAAACCAGAAAATTACTATTAATCTGCCCTGGGTTGCCTGTCATGCGGCCCTTGATGGCTTGCCAAAACTCAGTAAGCGGCCTTCTGCCCAAAATAATTGCCCGCCCCTGCTCTAGCACCAGCCCTGGCACAAGCCCAGCCTCAGA